CACTAACACTTCACCCTTGATCACATAATCAAACAAACGACCCTTACCTCCAATATCACCTTACAACACACCCTCCTCTTCACTAGAATATAAAATAACTTTTTTATATGAAAAATTAAAAAATAATCATTATTATTATTATTATTATTAATAAATATATTTTTATACTAATCTTATCAAATAACTATTTTTATGTTATATAAATATTTATTTTATATGATATAAATATTTATATAATTATTTATTTATTTGAATGATATAAATATTTATATTAAAATTTTTAACTTCTTAAATTTATATTAAAAAATTATTTTTTAAAAATAAAGAATTATAGATTGAAATATATAATAATATTATTTAAATAAAAAATTCCATTAAAAAATATTAAAGCTTAATTAGTGTGCTTGGCAAATTTTGCTACGAACTTAAAGTTATTAATTAACAATACTAAAAAATTAATATAAATTATTTTAATATACTAAATGAATGTTATAAATTAATTTTTTTATGTAATTTAATTTAATTTTTAATTCTTAAATTATTCTTGAACTTGCTTAGAAAAATAAAAATATACGTATGAGAAAATATGATATAATTTTATGTGAATAAATAATGATGTTCTTTCTTAAATGATAACTGCCTTGATAAAAAAAAAAAATATGTTAAGAGAGAATCTATTTTAAATATATAAGAGATTAAGATTCATTATCTGTAAAATTTTTAAAAATTAAATTTTAAATTTTTAAATTTTTAAAATCTATTATAGCGAATTATTTTATTAACTTATTTATGAGTCATTTATCTTGTTAACTTATAGCCTTCATGATAAATGTTAGATACAATAAAATGTTGAAAAATAACAAATAATTAATGATCTGGTACTCACAACTAAATTTAAAGTTATAAAATATTTTATTTTGTTAAACCTTCTTATTAACTAACCAACATACACATAATATCGAGCTCAAACAACATGGGCTTAATCTTGTAGCATGCAAGCAAAAGATATAATAGATTTTAACAGAAATTAAAAATATATATATTAATCTATTTCAACGACATAAAAAATATAAAATAAATTTTTATTAAAAATATAAAAAATAATCATTTATGGTTTATTTGATGGATGAATATATTTTATACCAATTTTATTAAATAAATATTTTTATAACATATAAATATTTATTTTATGTGATATGAATATTTATATACATATATTTATTTGAGTAATGTAAATATTTATATTAAAATTTTTAACCTCTTAAATTTATATAGAAGATTTTGAAAATAAAAATTATAAATTAAAATATAATAATATTACTCAAATAAAAGAAATATTTCAAAATTCAAAAAATAAGACATTAAAATTGAATTAAGTTTGTGTAACAGATTTTTCTACAAACTTGAAGTTATTTAATTAATAGTATTAAAAATCGATGTAAATAATTTTAATATATTAAATGAAAGTTATAAATCAATTTTTAATTCTTATATTATAAACTAAACAAAATTATAAATACACCTATTTATAATTCATAATTATATTTAACATGTTTAACATTTTCATGTTTATTAAATATTTAACTTTTTATTTATTGAGTATTAATTTTTAAAATATATAATTATATATTAATAAAAGACCTAATTTACACTATTAATTTTATACATATAAAATTTGGTAAAAAATGAGTCGGTCAGAGTAACAATCTATGTGTTCTCTCCTTGATATGGTATCCTTCAGTTGAATGCCATTGTTTTATGTGTTAGAATTGTATTTCTTTTCTTTTTAATTTTAAAAAAAGACTACATATATTTTTAAGGTTTTTTAAGAAAAAAGGTTTTATTAACGAGTGTTTCTCTGATACTAGGTAAATTTTTATTTTTATTTTTGTTTTATGCCGTAACATATGCTCTTAAATTGTCTTTAAGAAAAAATAAAAATAAAAAATAAACAAAAGACTTCGGGTTTTGTTTAGACATATTTATACGTGAGAGTAAAATAATTACAATAATACACTAACCTGATTATTTATTATTTTTTTTCCTTTCATTATTATTTTACTTTAATATTTCCAGCACTTATTCTTATTAAAAGATTATAAATCTGCTTCTTCTATGTTCTGTCAACGCGTTTACAGCATGAAACTGAAAATGACCAATAACTAAATTCTTGTCCCTAATAAAAAATAAAGTCTTTTTTCTCGTATTTACTACTATTACTATAATAAATAATGAATATAATTTTAATAAAAAATGTAAAACTAAAAATAAATAATAATAATAATAATAATAATAAATTCATGATTATTAAATATTTATGTATATAAAAAAGGATAAAGCATAAATTATATATATATATATATATATGATAAGTTATTCTTTTAAATAAAGTTTTAAAGACTTTTATTCAATTTAAGTCTTCTTCTAAGTTCTCTTAACGCTTAGGGTATCAAACTATCTCCTTTTATTTAATAGAATTACATTAAATTTTTGTTCTATTAGAATATTATTAAATATAAAGTGAAAATAGACCAATAACTAAATTTTTATCCTTAATAAAAAATAATTTTTTTCTCATATTTATTATTATTATCATAATAAATAATAAATATAATTTTAATAAAAAAAGAAATAATAAATAATAAAAAATTCATGATTATTAAAAATTTATATATATATATATAATAAGTTATTCTTTTAAATAAAGTTTTAATGACTAGCTCAGATTAAGTCATTCAAGATATTTTTAAAAACACAAAAATAAAAGAAAATATATAATAGACTTCTTAATTTTTGTAGCATGCAAGCAAAAGGTACAACAAATTTGAACAGAAACTTTTTTAAGAAATTATATTAATCTAATTCAAAAATATAAAAAATATAAGATAATTTTTTATTAAAATATATAAAAAATTAATATTTTTATGATTTATTTTATCGATGAATATATTTTGATACTAATTTCTTAGATAACTATTTTTATGTCATATAAATATCTATTTTATATTATATAAATATTTATATATGTGTGCATTTATTTGAATGATGTAAATATTTATATTAAAATTTTTAAGCTCTTAAAATTATATAGAAAATATTTTTAAAAATAAAAATTATAGATTAAAATATATAGTAGAATAAAGAAGTTTCTCATTCAAAGAAATAAGACATTAAAACTTGATCAATGTGCATGACATATATTTTTTTAATTTAATTAATAGTATTAAAAAATTAATATAAATAATTTTAATATACTAAATGAATTTTATAAATCACCTTTTCTATGTAATTTAATTCAACTTTCAATTCTTATATTATAAACTAAATAAATAATATTTACTGAGTATAGACTCTTAAAATAAATAATCATATGTTAATAAGAGAATCAATTTTTACTGTTAATTTTATTAGTATAAAAAATTGTAAAAAAAATGAATTGAGTGTGACAACTTATATGTCCTTTTATTGATATTATTTTGTTAGATAATTGTATTTCTTTCTATTTTCAATTAAAAAAATGTCAAATATACATTTTGAGATTTTTTTTAAGAAAAAATTTTATTAAAAAAATGTTTCGATGGTATTAGGTAAAAAATTAACTTTTTTTTATTAAAAAAAAAGTAACAAAAATGATGGTTAGAATATTTTGTCAATTTTTAATGTGTTTTTTTGTTTTATGTCATGAAGATGCTCTTAGATTGTCGTTAAAAAAAAGAGTAAATTAAAAGACTTTGGGTTTTGTTTAGAATAGGTATAAAATTATCTCTTTTAAAATGTTATATAATATATATGGCATTGCTAGAATATAAATTTTGGATACAATGAGATACACAGTAGGAAAAGAAATAATAAGGAACAAGATTACATGGCAGTTACAAGTGGAGTTGGAAGTTACATAACATTGTCAACCGTTAACTCGTTCCTTCTTACCAACAAATTAATGTTCGTAAAGTACACATGACATTCGATTCTTCGATCCCACTTCAGCATTTCTCAAGTTTCGTTAATCCTTTCCGGTTTAGCACAAGCAAAACAGTACGTTGAACAAGAGATTTAAGAAGAAAAAGAGCCTCGTGCATGCACTGTGATATATGAACTGCGTACTAATTTCTGTTGAATATCTTTCTGGATATTAAAAGGATATTGGGTTTGAAAAAATGATGACAATAATGGCACCCATTCTCTCAATTAGTTGATATGCTTTATATGGCGGTGGTAATTTATTTTAGAAGATATGGTTGTTTTTCTTCTCATCTTCATTCTTGTGTTTTAAAGATAGTTAAAAGTTGATGCAATTACTTTTTTGCATTAAAAGTCTAGTATTGCATTAGAAATCTAGAAATTGTTCATTCTTATGAACGATTTATATTTTGTATAATTGACAAACCAAGCATCAAACAGTATCATTGACAGATTTATGTTGATATTAAAGCTGTCCTCTCCAAGATGATTTTGGTTTTCAAGTGCAATGTTTGGTTTCCAACAAATCTCTAACTTTCCTATTAAGGGAAAGGTGTTTGAACCGTAACTTAAATGAGTATTAACCTGCTGCGGTTGTGGCCATTTTGAAACGACTGAAATTTTAGTTTATTCCACTGTTATACTGAAATTATTTGGAAAATAATCCAGGATGAAAGTAAAATGTCTCAGGATATTACAGTAATGGTGAAGTTATTGCAAATTGATCAAGGGTAGTCTTGTTTCACTATATGGAGCTAATTTCCAAAAATCCTCCTATGCACATATATGATATCTTTCGGCCATCTGAATCATAGAAAATATGAACTACAATGATGTTTTTCATAATGTCCATACTCATCTATTTAATTTCTCCAATTTTGTTATGTCAGATTCATTGTTGTAATCTGGTAAATTTCTATATTAATTAATGCCTAATTTGGCTGATAATTATTGAATATATTTTAGGTTCGTGGAAAATTGGTGTCTGTGCAGAAGCAGTAGATGCTAGTAATGCTTGATATATAAACGGATCACATAAAATGGGTGCTCCCAAAGTTGCCAGATGTGGAAGAAGAAGGAGAACAATGGCTGGTAAAAGTTCAATTAATCAACCAGGAGCCGGCCATAGCTCACATAAACCAAGCAATTTTGATTTAGATGATCTAGAATGGACCAACAGGATTCCAGAGTGTCCAGAATACCACCCATCAGAGCATGAGTTTGAGCATCCTTTTGTTTATCTGCAGAAGATTGTTCATGAGGCTTCTAAATATGGTATGAGACAACAGCATAAGGATATTTTTCTTTTAATTATTTTAATTGCATATAGTTCTTCGCTGTGTTTATGAGGTAGGGGCTTCATCTGTCGTTCAGAAGTTTAAACAAAGAATTCCCCTTGTATGAGAAATTGATGTAAAATATTAGTATGGTTTGCAAATAAGTTTGGCATTTTTGCATTATCTTGGACATGCTATAATGAATTGATTATTCAGATGCTGATAAGTATAATCACTTCTATTTTACAAATTCATATGGCAGGATTTTTAAAGTGTAACTAGGAGGGGGTAAATGAGGGAAATAAGAAGGTAAAATAATTGCATCTCACATGCATGTGAGTTTTTTTCTAAATTTTAAGGCATACTAGGGATTCTATTTAGTTTCCCTTTAATTCTTCTTGTACTTTCCTTTGGTCTCCTCTCTCACATGTTAAAAGTTAAAACTCAAATTAAAAGGATTTAAACAAGAATAGTTTAAATAAAATAATTTATTTAAACTACAGTAGCACAAGTACTTTCAGCACTTTTTTGTCTTTCTTTTTTTGTACACTTTATGCTTATTGTATCATCCTCATATTTCAGGTATATGCAAAATTATTGCTCCAATTGCTGCCTCCAATCCTGCTTCTTTTGTCTTAACGAAAGAGAGAATGGATTTCATGTTTGAAACAAACGTACAGCCTCTTCGACTTTCTAAATGGAATGAAAAGGATATAATGACCTTTTCTATGAGAGGCAGGTAAAACAATATCATGCCTTCTAGCTTTTATGCTACTTAATTTATGTAAAATAAATTAATTGTTGGTAGTCATTGTTTCTACCAGAAAATATACATATCATGAATTTGAGGCTGTAGCAAAGGAGGCCTTTTTCAGAAAATTTTGCGGTTCCAGAAGTCTTCCTTCTTCATATGTGGAAAAGGAGTTCTGGTGTGAGATGGCACGTGGAGAGAAGGGAACAGTTGAGTATGGAGTCAATATTGAGGGTAGTGCCTTTTCATGTGATCCTGATGACAGGCTTGGAACAAGCAAATGGAATTTGAAGGTTATTTTTCAGATTTTTTGCTGACTCCGTTTCATTTTTATTGTTCTCTTAACATCTGTGCTCTTGCTGCTTATATTAAATTTTAGACTTTTGTGCATTGCTTCTCAAATTATTTATTATTGAGCTGGCTATTAGAATTTATAAATTGATTGTTAGTACATGTAACATTCTTTGATACATGTATTTATTGTGCATTTAATATATTGATTTTATTTATTGCATTTGATTTCAGAACTTCTCACGGCAGCTGCAGTCTCCATTGCGTTTAGTTGATGGAGAAATTCCAGTAAGAAAATATTTTTCAAAGCCTAAACCAAATTCACAAGTTAATTTTCTTTTCTAATTCCAATGCCAAATTTTAGGGAATAACTGATCCTATGCTTTACATTGGGATGCTGTTTAGTATGTTTGCATGGCATGTGGAAGATCATTATTTGTGCAGGTATATCTAAGAACAGTCTGCTTCTACACTGTCTTACCCATTGTTTAACTTAACTCCGATCTTCAGAAATACTACTGTCTTCTTTGCAGCATAAATTATCATCACTCAGGTGCAAATAAAACTTGGTATGGTGTGCCAGGCTATGCAGCCTCTCAGTTTGAAAAGACTGTTTTACATCACGTGTATTGCAACAAGATCTTAACAAAACGTGGAGAAGATGGAGCCTTCCAATTTCTTGTACATAAAACAACCATGTTCCCTCCAAATGTCTTGTTACAACATGATGTGGCAGTATACAAGGCTGTGCAGAAGCCAGGAGAATTTGTCATCACCTTTCCTAGAGCATATCATGCTGGATTTAGTCATGGTAATTCATCACTCTCTTGGCATGTGTTTTCGTGACTTTAACTGTGGACATGCAAATTCCAGTTCTAGAGATGGACATCAATTATTTGATTCTATTTGTTGATCCCAGGTTTTAACTGTGGAGAAGCAGTAAACTTTGCCACTGGTGATTGGTTTCCACTTGGGGCTGAAGCTAGTAGGCGTTACGCACAACTTAGAATGTTGCCTTTAATTCCATATGAGGAACTTCTATGTAAGGAAGCAATGTTGGTCTACAAGTTCTCAAAACCCAAAAGTTTCAAGAACAAACCTGAAGACATGAAATCTTATCAAGCTATTGTTCTTTCTTTCTTGCATCTTATGCAATTTTATAAGTCATCCCTTTTGCAACTGAACAGTGCAAAAAAGTTGTTGAGTTCTTCAAATAAATCAGGTTCACTGACATGCAGCCTCTGCCACAGGGATTGTTATGTAGCTTACTTGCAGTGCAAGTATTGCTATTCTCATCCAATTTGTCTTTTCCATGGTTAGACATCATTATTGTATTCATTTTGAGAATTATTTCAATTGCTTCAGTGATTGATAAGTGAATTTGCTTTCCATCACTATGCAGACGAAGATTTCATGATGATTTGAACTTTATTAATTTTCATTTTGTTAGCATCATGATGATTAAGGATTTATTGACACACGGTTTTTGGCTCTGCTTATTATGTAATGCAGACATTGCAACACGGACTTGTTTATGCGGGAGAGACTATACTATTTTTACAATAAATGACATTTTCGCACTGGAAGATGCTGCCAAAAGTTTTCAACAAGAAAAAGAATACGTTGACATATTCTCTCTATCAAGTATATTCTCCTATAACAGAAATGAATGTGTCAAAGATCTCAAGGTATCTGAAAATTTGAAACTGAAACTGATAGGGGGATTTTGATGGTTTGGCATTGACAATTTTTTAGTGTTCTTGGTGAAACTAGAATAATTGCCTTTCTTTGCTTGTTTAAATGCATCTAATTTTATTTTTACTTTTGAAATTAAAACTGAAAGCAGAATAATCGTTGGCATGAAAACAACAGTGTAAGGGGAACAGCAAATTCTCCAGTGGCAGCATCTAAACGAAAAACGAGAGTAGTGGACAGCATCAAGCACAGTGTTAAGAATGGGACAAAAATGAAGAATTGGAAAAGCAATGGCCCTCCATCTGCGAAGGGTACCACAAGACCAGGACTCATTTATAACTTGAGAAAAAGCAAATCAAAATTGATCGTATGAATTCCAGCAGCATCTCCCCTCTCGGCAACATCTGACAATTGACTCTAAAAAATTAAAATAAGCTATTAACCTTCTTCATCAATTGATAGTATAGCCACTAATCAGATTGGGACAGTTTCTGCTTCTAATTCATTTGTTAAGTATACATTATTTTATAATTGTACACTGTAGTTTAGTTTCCTCAAATGTAAGTGCTCATTACATGGCTACAAATTTCTTGTCTAACTTCTATATTAAATATCAGGAAAACGTCCAAAATTCATCACTTTTATCTGATCTGAAGGTGCTGATGTTCCATTTCATTTCATCCACAGCAATCAAACTAAGGACTCAACGTGCTAGAGAACTCCACTAAGACTAATCAGTTAGAATATACGACAATTGCAATGACATAAATCATGGTTGCGATGCAGCCTAACAGATGGGGAACATGACATCACAATAAAATTAAAAGGGATAATCACAGCTAATCTAAAGTATAACAAGATCTGGCATCTTTGAACAAAGAGTATTAATATGTAACCGAGAAAATAGATTATTGTTACAAAGCTATCTATTATCCATCTGGTACTTTTTAATGCAACCAATACATGAAATGACATTCACTCCTCAAAAGTTAAAATGCTTTAATTTTTAATGGATAATGTTCACCATCAACGAGCTGCAAAGTTCTCAAGCAAAACATACAATTTCATCCTTAAATTATCTTTATGTATTAAAGAAAAAATCAAGATTCTCTAGATGCATACTTGTAAATCTGTTTCTCCATATGAAAGTCCAGTCCTACATAGCAGCAACGTATGCAAAAGATCAAATCCCCCAAATAAGCTTGGGTCCCCTATAAGCTCTGCAAATACTTCAAGTTTTACATTGAGAAGCTCATGGGTATCAGCACCCCTAACAACGGCAAATTCCTGGTCCAAATCCCTCTCAACCAGACTCCCAATGCATCCCTAACAAACTGAGCAGCTTTGTTGCAATTTGAGCTTTTCCTTTCCCTCTTTTTGTATTTAGTTCTACTTTGGAAGATTTTTTCATCCTTCCCAAACTCTATTTTCACTTCTTTCTATTATGGATGAATTAAAATCAAGACAATCAATTAAGCAACTTAGGAAAGGATAAAATGCTCAACACTATACAACATGGATTGCTACATCATACGTAAAGCAACAACTAAATGTTGTCAATGCAACATGTAGTGAGTGTACTATTATAATCACCTTCCTGGTTTAGGATCGCCAAATTAATCTAGACACCAATTAATTAAGCATCGCCAAATTAATCTAGACACCACATACTCATTGAAAGAGAATTTTGATCAACCAAATATGGCGAATATGGGAAGCTACTAAGCCTGGTGCATCCATGTAAAGCGCTATTCCTATAATGGACACAATAATCCCAATTTGTAAACACCAGATTTCTTTTTTCCTCTTCTTGGTGTGACTGTGTGTGTGAGTCTGAAGGGGAAAAGGATTCATACTGATTCTTATCCAACCCAATCCCATATCACCATGAGAAAGTAAAAATTGTTTATGACATCAAGGATATGAAACACGGCCAACTTAATTCAATATCATTAAGGGGGAAAAAAAGCCTGCAAAAGACATCAAACACATCAACAATGACTTCAAAAATTTTCTCCTCTCAATTATTTTAGTATTAAGATTGTATCCTCCTAATAAAAAGGTGTGCTAATAAGAAAAGAACTACAACTACCAGGCCTCTCACATTAATGTCTCACCACCTCAAAGAGCGAACAATGTTTAGGCCACAGCAGTAATACTTTCAGTCTCCACAACCTCCTTCTGCATCTCCTTGACAGCCCTAATTAAAGCCCTTGTAATGCCCTTGAGATGCAAACCATTCCCTTTCATTTCCTCTTGTAGCTTTTCTGCCATTTCCCAATCCAAAGCCTTCAAGCAGAGAGACTGGATCAACTTCTCGTACTCATCAACACCAGGGCGGACACCAAAATCTTTCATCTCAGTCAATAACTTCAAAGCCTTGTCAAACTGTTCCAATTTGCAATATCCACGAATGAGCGTGTGAAACATCACAGGGCTTAACTTAACATGCTTTTTTCCAGCTTCTCCCAAAATCTTCCCAGCCTCTTCCATCTCACCACCATTTGAATATCCACTAGCAAGAACAGTATAAGTGTACACATCCGGTTTCAAACCTCTACTTTCCATTAGCCTCATCATCTCCATAGCCTGTCCCATTTCCCCAACCTTTGAATAGGCCGTAACAATGAAATTGAAAACAGCATTTCCAGGCGGCGGACCATCCGAAATCATCTTCAAGACCAACTGCTTTGCTGCATCAAGATCCTTAACCCTACACAACGAGCGAATAACAGCTGAAAATGGCTTTATCGCACGCTCCCTCTTCTCCCTAGGGATATCATTCAACACCTCCAAAGCCAATTGTACAGTTTCATTTTCTCCACAGAGCTTAGCAACCAAAAAATTAACACTAGACATGGGAGGGCGTTTCCCTTCCTCCATTGCCTTCACATACACTGCATGGGCATCTTTTGCCTTCTTGCCCTTACACAACCAGCACAGCAAGTTACCAACTTTCTCACCATCAGAAAGGGTTTTTGCATCGATCATCTTTTGAGAAACAACACAAGCCCAATCGAATGCGCGTCGCCTACAAAGTGCTTCGATCGTAAAGTAATATGTGTCTGCATCTGGCACACACTGAAAGGCCTCAAATTTATCAAACACCTCAAGTGCAGCCTTTCCTTTCCCCAATCTTGAAAAGGAAATTATCAATTCATTGAGAACCCTCACATTAAGAACCCCATTCTCCTTCTCTCCGATATCCTTAACTAAGTCCCAAAGAGAGTAAATCTCTTTCTTCCTTAAACCACTACAAATTGCTAAAACAAGGGATTCCACAACTGGGGTGTTGACATTGAACGATTTCTCAGTCCATGCCCACCTGAAAAACCTAATCAGATTCTCACCCAAAACAAAAGGGGCTTCAATTGATTTGGTCACGAAATCTGGATGCAGAGTCAAACGCATGTCGTCGAGGCATGACTCTAACGACCCATCAGCACTGGTTTGGAGAAGACGCAGCACGTCCTCCAACTTGTCCAAATCAACCTCGTACGTGTCTTCTTCTTCTTGTTGTTGTTGCTGTTGTTCGTCTTCTTCTACTGCAGTGCCGTGTTCGTGAGCATCGTGTTCTATGGATTCCGCGTAGACCTCATTTTCAAGGGTGGAGTCAGTGATTTGATGGGAGAAAAATCGAGGGTTGTTGAAAAGACATGCAATTTGGGGGGAACGATGAGAACTTAATTGAGGGTTTTCGAGAAAAATAAGGTTAGAGAGAGGGAGGGTGTGTCGGTGAAATCGTGAATTAGTAGCATATGTTGCTCTTGTAAGTATGCGCCTCCACATTCTTCTTCTTCTTCTCTGCAATGCGTGCGTGTAGTGTTAAGGTGATGTTTGTGCCTCTTTCTGCTCTGTACGTGCTTCGGACCCTAACCTAAACCATGAGCTTTTCATGTAATTTAAGAAAGCTAGTTTCTCTTTTGCCACCAGTGCCTTTAGGCACAACATTATAGGTTCCTTATCTATAATATTAATAAAGAAATATTGCAGAAATATTCTCTTGAATAATTTTTTAATTATTTTACAATTTAACATTACATTTTTTTATTGAGTTGTTTTATAATAATTTTTACAATATATATATATATATATAATTTTTTTATTATTTTGAAAAAATTCAATTTAAATTAAATAGTAAATACTTTATTAATTTAAATTTTAAAAATTATATTTTATATTATTCAACAATTTAGTAAAATTTTTGGTAATAATAAATTTTAAAAACAAATTAAGTATATTAAGTAATTTTATTAAATTACATGTGTATTGTATAACTTTATTCATTAAATTATTTTGTTTAAAAATAATTTTAAATATAAATAATTATATTTTAAATATAAATTAAAATATAACTTTTTATATGTTTTATTGATTTGAAAATAAATTCGTTTATAAACCTATAAGTAGAATACACAAGTAATTTTATTTTATTATTTTCATTTTTAAGATTTTATAACCATCAAATAGTTTGAAAGAATTAAATTTAATCAATTTTAAACTATTTTTTATAAATTTTAATAATTATGAGTTAATTATAATTTATGTCTATATATAATAATGTTATTTTAATACAAATATAAATATGTACAATATTCAACAATAATTTTTAATAAATTATATATATAATTATAATATAATATATTTACATAAATCAATAAATAAAAATTTAATTATATAATTATATATTTGAATTCATCGTGTAGTTAAATTTTACCTATATTTTTTTTATTTAAAATAAGTTGTCAAAAGTTTAAAAATATAAATATAAAAAATTATTTTTTTATTCGATCATATGTAATATATATGTAAGCATTTTATGTAATTTAATTTTTTATAATTTTTATAAATTCAGTTAATATAGTTATCATTATTTTTATATATTTTTGGGATCAGTTTTATGAAATCCGTAATTATAAATTGAATATAAATTAATATAAATTTATCATTTTAATTTTAATAATTTTTATAAATTTTAATATTTTTTATGAAATACGATTATTTATGTCAGTTTTTTTCAAAATTATTTTTTTAAAATAGCATTAGTTATCAAATAAAAATATCCATGTGTATCTTTTTTTTTAATCATACTAGTTCTTATTTTTAAATTTTTAAATAAATTTTTGATAATTTTTATAAATTAATTTTAATTAATTAATATTATTTTATATATATATTATTAAATATTAATATTTTATTAAAGATAAATTTAGAATATAAATAGTACTCTAACTTGTTACAACTTTAAAAGAAACATACTATAATATAAAAAAAAAAAATAAGAGCAGCAACGATTTTTTAGAAAAGAACAGTAATTATAAACTTAATATAAAAAATTATTTGATTATGATTAATTTTAATATATTTTTATAAATTTTAATCGTTTTTATGAAATATGTCTAATCAATTATCATTATTTTTTAATATATCAAAAAAATATAAAATAAATATATTTATCTTATTGTTTTAATTATTCTTACTTTTTATAAACTTTAATAATTATGAATTTTGTTATAAATATATAACATATATCATGATTGTTATAAAAGAATTAAAATTTAATCATTTTAATTTTTTATTACTTTTATTTTATTTTTATTAATATATTTTAAATTATTTAAATATATTTTTTAAAAATAAAAAAATTATTTTTTTATAAATCTAAAAATATTAAAAATATGAATGTATATAATATATAAATTTAATGACATTATTTTATTTAATTTAAATTTACATTATTGCAAGTTATATTAGTTAATAAAATATAATAACTTTGTACAATTTAATTAAATTAAATTAAAATATAATAATAATGTTATTAAATTGTACAAAGTTATTATATTTTATTTTTAATTTACTTAACAAACATAAAAATGTTACTTTTTATCTTCTCTTAAGACACACACAAAAAAACAAAACTGACTAAAAACTGAAAACTTTTTAAAAAGGAGAAACAAACATACTTTTAAAGTTTGAGGAAGGAGAAAAATATGTTGTGAAAGTATAAATGAAGAGTAAAAAGAAAAAATAAAAAAGAGAAAAAAAATTGAAAAATTCACTAGAATATAATATATTTTTACTGAAATTTAAAAGGAAGAAGATGACAATCAATAACTTTTTAATAGAGTTAATATTTTTAATAAAAAAATAATTTATTTGAAATGATTTTATTAGTCAAAAAAGTAAAATGAGAAAAAAATTAAATAACTAAATCATGTAACAAAGAGAGGTAAAAAAAACTAAAATAAATCAAATAAAGTTTTTCTATTTGTATGGAAATATCTCTTAAAATATAATGCATGTGGGTGTAATGTTCAGTTTTTTGGATTTAAGATGTATTTATGGGTTGTATATAAGATATTTCATACAAGTCTTGAAGCTAAAATAAGTTTGCTTAACTTAAGCTTCGACAAGAGAAAGCTAATGATCTTCACACTTTTCTGCATATATTTAGCCTATTTTTATGAGAATATGTTCTTTAATATTTAACTATTCATCGTATATATGCCTTTATTCATAATAATAAGGATAAAATAGAATAATTTATTTATTTAGGGTCCTGATTTAGTTTATATTAATCTTAAGTTAGACTAAAGTTTTTATTAAATAGATTAGAATAAGACTTTTTTAATAAATTTTTTAGCAAAAAGTAGTCAAATTTTTATTCATCAAATATAATAACATTGTCAAATGATACTATATATATTCTGGTTTGTTGGACAAGATTAGGAAAGGACTAATAAAATGGAGAGCAAATTCTCTTTCTTTTGTTAGTAGCAAATTCTCAAATGATTTTTTTGACATGAGTCTCAAAAAATCTAAACATTTCTTTGGAAAATAGCTGACAGTAGATTGTTTACAAACGAAATAACATATAAAACAAGTTTATCTGACAATGATATTTGTCTTACATATAATTCTGCTTGTGAAACTATCATGTATATTTTTAGAGATTGCTTTATAGTTAATGCCATTTGGAATCCTCCCATTAAATGCAATAATTGATGCACTTTTTTTAAGTCTTGATTTAAACAAATAACTATATTTAATATCAAAAAATAATTTTAATGGTATTCATATTTGAAATATTTTGTTTTAAGTGACTATTTGAAAATTTTGAAGCAAATTTCATTCATATGTGATCTAAAAGAGAGGAAATTATTGGTTTGAGTCTTATTAAAAATTGGCTAAAATTAAAATTGCTTAGAAATGAATAAGAGAAGTTTTTGGTAGGTTTTAGTGGTAAACATAGCGATTGTTCATTAATTTCAGCTGAACTTTGGACTTTGGTATTGAGTTTTTAACAAGTTCAAGCTCTTAATTATGGTAAAGTTTTGGTTGAGATAGATTCTAAGTACTATTCATTTGGTTTGTTTCAAAATTAACAAATGCTGTGGGCTTCTTCCCTTAATTCATGAGATTAGAAGTGTTCCTTTCTAACATGTGAAAAAAATTCTTCCTTTTAAGTTTGTTTCTCTTGAAAATGTTTATGAGATAGGATTGTTTAGATAAAATTGGATTTGTTATATTTTTGAGATTTTTAACTTTTTTATTATTAAAAAAATAAATATTTAAAAAATTAAAAGAATTACCCAATTAAGTTAATTTTTAGTTTATAACTTTTAGAACGATTAATATGCTATAGTCTTTAAAATTAGTATCGTTAATTTATTTTATAACACTAAGAGATGATAAAGATTAAAAAAAGAAACAGTTATGAAATATAAAAATTATTTTTTATAATTGAAAGAATTAAAATCACCAATAATAATTTGTAATTTAAGAAAATAGTTTAAAAAATTAAATACAACTTATTTTAATAAAACAGTTAAAGGATCGATCGTTCGCAGAAATGCTGTGACTCGCTTGGAAAAACGAGTCAATGAAAAACAGTTGACTTCACCTGAGAAGAACTCTGGTTCGAATCGAGAACCCTAACCCTAATATTTCAATTCTTCTTCTGGATTAATCGCAAAAGAAGAAGGCAAAACGAGACCATGAAGTTGTCGTTCTCCATCCCCTCCTCGAAGTCCTCATCGAAGACCAACTCCGTCAAACCCTCCAACAAATTCGATGACTCTTCCGCCAAACAAAACGACGACGTCGCATCCAAACACCTCATCACCGAATTCGACCCTTCCAAAACCCCAACCCATTCAGCCCCTCAAATCCTAATTCCCCCAATCCAAGACCAATGGCGACCCCTCAAGAAAATGAAGAACCTTCACCTTCCCACCACCCACTCCGAATCCGAATCCCTCGCTTTCGAACAAGACACCACCTCCGCCGCCCAACCCGGATCCGACATGTCCTACGGCCTCAACCTCCGTGCCAACAAAATACCGGACGCTGAAGATGATGGCACCGCAGCGCCGCAGCGTCGTGTCTCAGTGGAGAATGTGATGCTGCAGAAGTTCAAGGACGATTTGCACACGCTGCCGGAGGACCAGGAGATGGACGAGTTCAAGGATGTCCCGGTGGAGGGTTTCTCCGCGGCTTTGCTCGCCGGCTACGGCTGGACCAAAGGGATGGGGATTGGGAAGAACGCAAAGGAAGATGTGAAAGTGATCGAGATCAAGCGGAGGACTGGCAAGGAAGGATTAGGGTTTGTTGGTGATGCTCCTGATCCAATTCGGAGCAGCAACAGCAAGAACAAGGAGGATGGGAAAAAGAAGAAGGAAGAACGAGGGAAGGAGAAGGTCGTTAGGATTGTTGGGGGAAGAGATGCTGGATTGAAGGGTAGTGTTGTGTCTAGTGTTGGAGATGATTGGCTTGTTTTGAAGCTCTCAACTAGCGGAGAGCTTGTGAAGGTGAAGGTGGATGATGTTGCTGAATTGGGTTCTGCTGAAGAAGAGAAGTGTTTGAGGAAATTGAGGGATTTGAAGATTCAGAGCCATGATAGGGATAGAGGGTCAAAGAGTAAGCGCGGCAGGGATGAGGGTAGGAGAGAGGTTCAGGAGAAGAGAGGAGATGTTAGTGGTAGAGAAGAGAGGCGAGTGGATCATAAACGAGTTTCTTGGCTCACAAGTCACATTCGGGTTAGGGTAATTAGCCGGGATTTGAAAGGGGGGAGGTTGTATTTGAAGAAGGGAGAGGTTCTGGATGTGGTTGGGCCTACCACTTGTGATATATCTATGGATGAGAGCCGGGAGATCATTCAAGGGGTGTCCCAAGATGTTCTTGAGACTGCAATCCCGCGACCTGGGGGACCCGTTCTTGTATTGTCTGGTAAATACAAGGGTGTATATGGGAGTCTGGTTGAGAGGGATTTGGACCGGGAAATTGCCATTGCTAGGGATGCTGATACCCACGAGCTTGTCAAGGTGAAACTCGAACAAATCGCAGAGTATATAGGGGACCCAAGCTTATTGGGACATTGATTCTGTTGCATCCACTGCGTTGTATGTCTGACTTCCATATGGAGGAACGAATTTACAAGTATGCATCTTGGGAATCTCAATTTTTTTAATACCTCAAAATAACTTAGGATGAAAATTGTATGTGTTGCTTGGAAACTTTGCAGCTTGTTGATGGTGAACATGACAACCCATTACAAAATAAAGCTTTTATTTTTGAGTGGTGACTGTCATTTGGTGTATGAATTGAACTAGTACCAGATGAATAATAGATAGCTTTGTGAAGATATTCTATTTCTTTTTTTTTTTTTTTTTGCTCTGTTACATAGCAATACACTATGTAGAAAGGTGATTATCCCTGTTTACTTTTTGGTTTGATGTCATCTTCTCTGTCTGTAAAGGTTGCAGTGTAGTCATGGTTTATGTTACAGCAATTAAAGTATCTTCTAACTGATTTGTGAGTACTTTACTCTTAGTGGGTTCTCTAGTTCGTTGAATCCTTTGTTTGATTCTTGTGGATGAAATGAAATACCCATCAGAACCTTCAAATTGGATGAAAAAGAAATAATTGCAAATTTGTATGAACAATAATGTGACATAATGAATTGCTGATTCTGTCTTGATATTGAGGGAGTGTTGTTCATATGATTTATGCAAGGTTGTGCGTTGGCAGCATATGGGGACTGTAATGGTGGCAGTATTTTATACATGCTTTGGAATGCAGTGGGATGTGTTCTTGGTGTTTGATTATGATTGTCTTTGTTGAGCATGATTTGGAATCTCTTTTGTTTTCTGGTAATGAGTAATGGTGTAAGATTGTTTGTCTTGTGCTTCTGACTTTTTGACGAATTGGGTTTGACACTTATTATCAACTGCCAAGGGTTCAAGTTTGAAATGTGTGTCTATATATATTTATCTTGTAGGGCCGTTCGATGATGATTTGTGTCTGATTGATGAACTGATAAGCTAATATTGTATGAATTGTCTTGGATTCAGTGACTTGTGGACACAACACTGATATTAGAGCATGCGGATTGATTGAGTGCAAGCGAGCTAAACACTCCATCACAGTCCCGAGTCACATATTATCAGCCTCCAGCTCTGCTTTATTGCCTGATCCCCACTTCCAGAGCTCCTAGCAAAGGCTGGCAATGCCATAGCCAAGGAAAGATGTTAAATTAAAGAGGACTGTGAAACTGAATTTTCTTAAAAATGGATTTCAAAGCAGCCCGTTGATTAAATTAAAAAGAAAAAAACTCTGGTGAACCAGTTCTTAAAACCGAAAATTTACAAGAGGAAATGCTTGTGTATTTGTAATTTCAGATTTTGGAAGTCAGCTATTGCTGGTACGTAGGCCCCAATGTTGGTCATTGCTCAGTATATTAAGTAGAAGAAATCTCAGCCGTATTCCTGATATTAATTATAGTAGTTAGATAAAAAATTTGTAACCATGATTGGGAAAAGTGATTACTGCTTATGTACAAATGACGAAATATAACACATCATTCAAGGGAAGTACACTGAAGAGTTAAGTATAAACAGTGATAAATATTATTCCTGGTCTTGTGGTACCCTTCAAAGATGAAGTGTCATTGCTTTGCTTCATTTTTGTTCTGTTCTTCCCATTGTGCTTGATACTGTCCACTACTCTCGTTTTTCTATTTTTAGGTTGATGATGATTCTCTTTCAATGGGAAGGTGGTGTCTATGATTAATTTGGCGATGCTTAATTATGTGGTCTCTTTGATTGCTAACCGGGAACATTATTACAATAGTACTCATTACATGATGCTTTGACAACTTGTTGCTTTACTTGTGATGTAGGAATCAGTGCTGTACAGTATTGCTTCTCTACAATGAACATTTGATCCTTTCCTAAGTTGTTGCTTAATTGCTTTGATATTAATTCATCTATATACTACTTGCAACCATAAGGGGATAAAATAAATTTTACCAAAGAAAAACAAGTGAAAATACAACTAGGGGAAGGATAAAAAAACTTCCAAGTAGAAAAGTAAATAAAAAGAAAAAGAAAAGGAAAAACTCAAATTGCATCGAAGCTGCCCAGTTTGTTCGCATATTGAAGATAGCAAATCCTCTCAATTTTGATGCCTTTAGGTGGTTCGATCGAATAAAGAATTCTGTGTGGTTGGTTGTATAGGGCGCGATGTGAGCTTTGAATTTGAATCTCTTGCGTTCGGAATTTTCACGAGCCAGTGACGTTCTGACAGTTGTTGCGTTTGGTGCTATTAAGTTGGGCTTTTGTGCTCGTAATATCATAGTCAATTTATCCAAGGCTTTTATCCTGGAATTCTTCAGATTTCTGTTCTTAATCGAAGACCATTTCAGTATTATTCGGCTGTAAGCTGTGTCCATATTATTTTGACTATATTGACCTAAACTGTTGGATTTGAGAACCATCATTTTGGCTACAAGCCTTGAATGCAAGGCGTTTTAAATGTACTGGTTACACATTTACAATACTTTGGATTTTGATTTGATAGTAATTTTCATTTGAATTTATGACAGATTTCGGATACTCTGCTTTTTTTTAGAACTCAAGTTCCATTTATTTAAGTTCATGTTGAACAATATGAAGCTATGCCCGAAGAAAAATTAGTTAGTTCATAAATGATCTCTTCATGATTTTTACTTGTACTAATCAAGTCACCACAATATTACCACAGCAGAGAGGGCACCACTGAACCAAAACCACTAAAATATAATTATCTGTAGCATAACCTTTTTGTGTCGCCTAACTTCCATAAAAGCAATTACACGAAGTAACCAACCACATTTACAGCTTCTTCCAATTTAGGTGAATTGATAACAGAATACTAATGTGACTCGGAGAAAAATTCGGATAAAGCCAGAAACTAGAATCTGATGTACATGCTTTGTACATGCCCCCATGTTTTTTTAACCATAAGACAAACAGGAAAATTTATTTCTTAGATATCATGACATTAGTTTAGTTAAGAATAGAATCTTTTGAAGCCTTTGTAGTTATGTTAAATTATTCTGTAGCTCTCATAGTTTCACTAAATTTTTAATTAAATTCTTACAGTTTTGAAAAATTTTAAGTAACTTTGTAGAAGTTAACGCCATTAAAATCTCCGTTAATTATTGTTTACATGATGGTCACACTTAAAGGGTCCTCTTTTCAAATTTACACTAATCTCAAATTTACTTTTGTTTTGTTTCAAAGTAATTAACATATTAAAACTCTGGAGTTAAGCTGGAATAAGATGTTATTTATATTTTTCACTCCTTTTATGCCAACTGATGTTGCATTATTGTTTTATGTGATTGATTGACGTAGAATTTAGTTTTAAAACATTTTTAAATTAGACAATTTTTTAAACTAAATATTAATATGAGTTGTTTTAATTTTAATTGTATATGTGAAAAAATTGTTTTGAGAGAGCACATACTACATGCTGTCGTGGTAGAAGTGATGGAATAGTAAACTATTTTTTGTTTTGACATTGCTGACCATGTAGACCTTCTTGCTCAACTCAAATTTTGGCATATCAAGCTCCGCTTCTTTACAAAGAATGTTCTGTGGAGGGTCCTCTTATGACATCAACAATATGTTTTTTACTTCTTGCCTGAAAATATCAAATAAATTAACATTTGGCCCTAATGTTGTCAACCCTTCTTCAAAACTAAGTAATGTATTATCTATTTTTTGTCCACCTACAAATTCAAATAATTGCAAATATGTTAAAGACTAATTTTAATGTTGAATTTATGATACTCTTATCTATTTAACTATTTTTCCTTATCTTATAAATAATTTTCAACAAATTTAATGGAAATAGATAAAGATTGTAGATAATTTAGAAAAATTTATATATATATATATGGGTATGATTTTCTTACACTTGATTTGAGTCTTTCATTTAACTTACATCTAACGGTCATTGAAGTGATAAATTATAACTCATTAGATGTAAGTTAAATGAAAGACTCAGATAGAGTGTAAGAGTTTTTAGACTTACACCAGTATAAGAAGATCTACACACACACACACATATATATATATATATATATATATATATATATTAAAATAATCAAAATTTATAAAATTTCAAAATCTTCATATATAAATATCTTTCGTCCTACTAAATCCTTATTTTATATGACAATCAATAATGTAGAAAACATTAATTTAACATAATTATGCATTAAAATATTTACAAACTCATTCATATAAATTCCATCCAAAAGTCACTATGACACAATTACATTCAATTAAATCTGATTGACTAAACCTCAATTTGGTCCTTGAAATAGTAAGTGCTAAGTATTTTAGTCTCTGAAATTTTAAAAATGTCATATTAGTCTCTAACTTTCATCTACATCAAACATTTAAGTTTCTAGACCTAGATACCGGTAATAGACAGTAACAGAATGCTGACATGTTACATTAAGTGATACGTGTGATTGATTACATGGCAAAAATGACGTCGTATGTGGTATAATATATTTTTCATTTCATTTTAGTCCTTGAAATTATCACTCATATAACATTTTAGTCCTTGAGATTGTCATTGACGGATATTTTAGTCTCAGGTTCTTAAAACATTTCAACTATCCATTATTCTTCTTTATTCTCCTAAAAATTACTCTTACTGGCTATAAAATTTTAACCAGCTTATACAAAAATACTGCCCATTGAAATTTTAAAATTGTGTACTAGAAATTCTCAAGTGTTGATAAAGGAGATGTCACTTTCTTACATCTCTAGAAAGATATCAAAAAATATTTATAGCATCTTAATGCATGATTCTATAGAAATTAGAATATGGTTTGTTAATTTGGATCTACATTCGAACCAAATTAACATAGATCAAAACAATTTTAATATGTTGGTTGGACTCTCACATTTTGACACATTTATTACCAAATGAATTACTTTGTAAGAATTAGCATCAAATATATTCAAATGTGAATTTAATCATATGTTACACTGAGTCAGAATATTGAAATGTACACTTATATCTAGATCTAGATTTTCACGTATTTGAAACAAGATGAATCTTACAATACAAACGTGTTTTAAATAAAACGAGATCTATAACATAGTAAAATAAATAACACCCTAATTTTAATTTTAATTAAACTGTAGATGAAAGCTATGTAACCTAAGCTCTATCACCTCTAATTCTACGAGTGAGTTGAATATCTTTAAGCATAATGGTAGCTCTCTTGGCATGAATGACACAGAGGTTGGTGTCCTTAAAGAGACCAACAGGATAAGCTTCAGTGACTTCTTGAAGAGCAGAGACAACACAGCTTTGAAACTTAAGATCAATTTTGAAATCTTGAGCAATTTCTCTCATCAGTCTTTGGAATAGAAAAAGACTAAGAATAGTTATGGAGAGAAGGTAGTCAGTAAAGATAATTTCAAGAAAATAAAAAAAAATATTAATTATTTAACATAATATTAATTTATTTAATATGATTTTTTTAACTATACGATACCGTCATCATTATACGATTCCAACGTCATTATCTACTATAAGGTTATATATATCTAAATGTTATTTTATTTTTATAATATTAAATAATATTTATTTTATTTCAACTATTACATTAAATAATATTTAACTTGAAATAGATGTTTAATATTTACTCTACATATAATATTTTTAAATAAATTTATCTATAAAAATTAATTTTACATTATCATAATAATATTAACAAATATTTTATAATTTAACAAAATATATTCTCTCCATAAATTACTAATATTGAAAAAGCGCATATATTATATTTAGGTAAAAAAAAGATGTTCTTTTTTTTAATAACATCTATATATTATTATATTATATTCATTGCTGATACTATATTTTATTTTAAATCATTACATATACCATTTAATAGACAATATTTATCAACGTTATAAAATATTAATTAAATTTATTAATATATAAACAATAAACATATTTTATAATTTTCTTTTCCATGAAGCAATAAGAGACAACAATTTTATAAAACAAAAATACAGAAACAAAAAATGTTCACAAGAAAGAAAAAAAAATATTTTTAAAATTGGTTAAGAATTGCACATATGGTCAGCACATGACTGTCACATGTCACTTGTGGCGCTACTGGAACTGCTTCTCCCTCTACATGATTCTCATGTGTTCTAGACGCAATTGTGACGCTTATTGGAAGTGCATTTTATGTTCCGCGACTAACGTGTCAATTTGTAGCGCTTAAACCAGAATTAGTTAGAAGACACGAGACAGGGAGCAGTTGATTCGGAAAATCAGGATCGTGAGAATGAGAGAAAGTGAGGCAATTTAAGGGAAAAAAACCTCAGTTGTTGAGGAGAGAAGGTTATTAGAATTCCTTCCTTGGTTTCCCTATTCCTTCTCTTAGGAGTTTTCGTTTCTTATTTTCGTATATCTCTTCTTACTGTAATATTACCATAGTTGTATTGGTTATCAAAAAGTTTGTACCTGTTGTTAGAGACCGTTAACATTAATGCAATCATTTCTTTTCAATGATATAAGTGAGATATATACTGACTCTATAATAATTTTTTAAGATCATTACACAATCCCCCAACTATGATGCCTCTTCATCCTCCTCAATGCACCAAATTTACTATTTAAACAACCCATTATGGTATTTAGCTTTCAGAATTTTGTTTTACAAATATGTTTTAAAAATGACCCTATTTGGTCAATCAGTCACATTCTTAGTGTTCATTCTTTTTTCTTTCATTCCTATTCCTGCTCCTAGTTTCCAGCTTTCTTCCATTTCTAAACTACAAAAACACTCATTGTCTAGTGGGAAGTAATATCTATATATTATGGGTTTTCTTTTTAGTAGGACCACTTCTCATTTGCTTGACAATCTTGCAGAGCCTACAAATTGCTGTCCCATTATTTTCCCTTCCCCAAATTCAGTGGTCAAGTCCGAATACTTTTTTCCTTCCACGACGTTTACGGGCTGTTTTTACCATATTGGTGGAGTGGCCCCATTGAAGATTCCTTACCCAAGTTTGTATGAGTGCAAAAATAGCTTATTTCCATAGTACATTAAAAATAACTAATTTCTTGATATTTTTAGTGGTGCAGAATGATTCTACTTACTCAAGGCATAATTTGTCATACAAACAATGGCATCACATTTGCAAATATAAATATCATTCACCAACAAATGCTTTGAAACAATATTATTAATAGAATGGCAGTTTACATTTTGCAATGGTATAACTCTTAACTCATCCTGTTTACCCACAATGACAGTTTACATATAAAATCTAACTCACATCCCACCCCAACTACATATGAACACAGTGCCAAAATCATATCAACTTTAACTCTCAGTGCCACTAGCATATAAATTTTAACTCCCATGACGCACTTTTGCACCCATTACTGATATACTGTGTTATAATACTCTGGTTCGAATTCTGTCACTTTGGTGCCATTTGGCATACCTTATGATGAATTCATGGCAGTAATTTGTACAATGGTAAATGCATCAGAACAAGTCTTGACACTGTAGGCGGGGCCATCTCTTACCTTGTCTTCAGGATGACTGCAAGAGAAGCCGATGTATTCTGCACTTCATTCTGCACTTCTTGCACTCAACAACACTAGAAGCATCAACATGCATCTAACGACATAACGATAATGAAACTGCAAGAAAATGCATCAGAATTGAATATCATGATAATATGATGCAACAAAACTTAGTGTAAACATACAAAAAATGAAAAGAACAAAAAGTGGTAGCCGAAGAGACCATGATACAACACAAAATCAACAAATAAATGAACATTTAATTAATATAAAAAGCAGAGAAAACAAGGATAAAACCCCAAGAAATGAAGTTTTTTCATCACCATGAAAATCTTTATTTTTTTTAGTTTTATCTATCATTGTTAGAGGAAGAGAGTAAGAGAGGCCGTTTAAAAGGAGTGCCTATTTTCTGCTCTAACAAGCTGCCTTTGAAATCTACTTTCCTGCTGGCAACAAGAAAAGACCCTCAAAACACTCACCAGATGGGATTATAGAAAATTGTAATCGAGCATTTAGTAACTAGCAATAATGATCAGGGAAGTTTAAAGCTAAATGCATGAGAGATTAACATACTGAATTGGATAGTGAAAAGCCCAGGACTTGAACAAGCATGAATCATCATAAAGTTAACAATCCAAGGTGCAGGCAGACCTTGATTGCAAGATTGTGAGAGCTTACAGAACATTTCCTAAAATCAGCAAAGGTACCTGAGAAACAGGGTTCAGTTCAGTTGAGGATTATTTAATCGCTGCTACACATAGATTACTGTACAGTCATAATTTACACTTGATTTTTGTTTCTCTAATTGCTCTACCAGATATTGCAGAGAACGTGCCATACATAAATTGGAACAGCAGCATATAGGCTTCATCCGACCATAGTATTTAAACAATGGTAAATTAATATTAACAGAAAACATTGAAGAATAAAATTCAAAGCCACAGAAAAAAAGAAAAAAAGAATATTAATAAAAAATAAAGAAAAAATTAATACAACAGAGAAAAAGAGTCAAAAGACAAAAAAAGAAGGGGAGATTGGCGAGTAAACCTTAATGAGATAATAAGATCACGTTCATACTAGTTTTCATTATGTCTTTTTTATCTGTTTTGAAGATTCTGATGGGTATTTCATCCACAAGAATCGGATAATGGATACAACTTACTAGAAACAAACTGATATGTGCACTACTGAATTAGAATATACAAGTCTATAACTGCAATACATAAATCAAGACTGCACTGCAGCCTTTATTGGTTGAGATGAAATCGTCCAAAATTGAATTGGGATATTCACAAGTTATAAATGTAAATATAAGATGATCTTCAAAATAAAGTGATTCACAGGGTGGTCTTTTCAGAAATGGGCTTGCAGGTCGGCATCATATGAATATATGCTCCCACCAATTCTTCGCATAAATATGCTGATTCCACTCAATCTCACCAGAACAAGTTGATGTGATTACGGGGTGCCTCCTTCAAAATCTTAGAATTGTGGAATCTCACAAATGAGACTCTAAGCATGTTTAAGGAACAGAGTTGAAGTTTGCAAAGACATGCAATCAGTACTAAGCATGTTTAAGGAAAAGAGCCCACAAAAGAAGTAATTCTAAATTTCCAATGTTCATTTTAATGGCGTAAACTATAGTACTTTCCTCTGTACCATACTCAAGGATATCTTTAACCCTTATAATGGCAATTGTCTCCTCCCCAATATCGAATCAGCAGAAGAAAAATGTTGACTCTAGATGTGGCATGTAATCAAGCAGTAGCTCAAGCAAAAATGAATCAGTATGGAAGTTTACTTGCAAAATTTATAATCATCATGAACTGATTGTATGTGACAGAACTTTGGCGAAGCTATATAAAAATAACTTATGCTGAAAAAATTGTTCCTAACGGTACAGTACATGAAGTATCCGCTACACTCACGTTCAAAAATTTCATGTGAAAAGAATCAGACTTTTCGGGCCAGGGTCCTCTGCTTGGTTCCATGCTGCACCACCTTTTCCTCCACAGGAAGGCCCTTACGCCGTCTGACTGCATCCATTAACTTTCTTGCTATGTTTGGAAGAACACTAGAACCATCTCCAAACTCTTCAATTTCCTCTTCTGTTTTAGGTATAAAAAAAGGATCCTCAGGAAGTGCTTCCCAGTGGCTAAGGACGAGAAGTGCACTTGCGGCACCAGAAGTCCACCTTCTAAGCTCATCGGCAAAACCAAAGCTCTCAGAAACAGGAACATACGCATGCACAGTGAAGAAAGGGGAACCTTCTTGCATCTCTTCCTTCAAAACTCGGGCCCGTCTTCGGGCAAGTACAGCATACATCGGACCCAAATATTCAGTAGGGGTATTCAACTCACAAAAGTACATGGCTTCGACAAGTCGTGGCTTATTTTGAAGTACAGCTGCTCTACAAGCATCTCTGACAGTATTTGCAATTACATGCCCTGCAAAGCTGCCATACTGCTCGGATTGTTGGTGTGTTTCAGATTCATCACTCTGACCTGAAAACGGAGATATGCGTGCCTCAATGACAAATGCCAAACCCCACATAGGTTCATCACACAAGGGTCCAGCTGAAGTGGCCATTTGGAACCCAGATATAACATTATTCCCAAGGCGCTCAGCATCCATGTACAAAGCTTGGCCCTTGTCTGAAGATGTCTCCACAACTGAGTCGCTGATACTAGAATCGGTCACAAAGCCCAACCTTTCAGATAAACGAGAACAACCGCGTATTAAGACAGAACTATCAGTGCTTTCTGCTTTAACATCAGGAGTAAGGAGAAGGTTAGGACCGGTATGCCTTGGTCCAAGTGCCCATATCCTCCTCAAAATCTTTAGCCACTTCAATTTATATTTTTCACCATGGTCCTTGTCATTCTCATTCCAGCTCAAAATGTCACCCTCCACAGCATCCAAAATGCGTTTTTTCAGCACTTCAGCTGGATTATCATTTTCAAGAATGCCAGGTCTCTGGGTTTCCATGTTTTTAACTGTCTGCCCCAACTTTATTCCAATTATATCTCCAAGTAAATCAGAGCTTTCATCGAGCACCTTGGTAAGTGAAGGTAGAAGTTTCATAACCCGTACTCGAACAACACACCTTCCATTGGGTGTTGTTTTTTCAACATAATCTGACCTGCTACTTAGAACTTTCAAATTTTCCAGCACGTTGGATATGTCTCCGTCAATGGTCTCTTTGTAGGACACGAGAGGTGGAGAGACCTCCAAGCTTACTTTTGCAAATCTCTCCTTTAAATCCTTTATGCATCTCTCAAGATGAACTTCTCCAGCAGCAGCAAGAACATGCTCGCCTCTTGCAGAAACCATGACCTCAACAAATGGATCCGCTCGATTCAGAAGCGTCAAGCCTTTGTGCAGTGCACCCACATCTGCGGGGTCAGACGGCTCAATTGCAACTCTCAAAGTTGGGGCAACCTGGAATGCCATACTTGAAAATGGCCAACAGTTCCTAGTAGAAGAGACGGTAGCACTTTTCAATATATGCTGGCCTAGGCCTCGGATAGCAACAATATTTCCTGCCTTGGCAGATGTCACCACTTTCAACCCTTGGCCCATCATTAGATACAGCGATCTCAATTCAGCCTCCTGTATATGCTTCTGCATCGATTCCCCTTTTAACGGATCATACAACGCAGAAAGCACGAAAACTCTCTGCCCAGCATAAAAAACCCCGCTAAATATCCTAGCAAATGCCAAAAAACACTCGTCCGATTCTCCCTCTTCTTCATTAACAAAACTGTTAGCAGCCTCCCCCCTTTGGGGAGGAAGCATCTTAACTGGGACAGCAAACATCTTGGAAACAAAAGCCACACAAGGAACCTCATCCCTGCAATCACACCCCTCCACCGCCTTTCTCACCATCTCCGCCTCTTCCACCACGCCGCGATCAACCCCATCCTCAACCTCCCGCCTCGGAACCAGCCTTGATATCCTATACAGCTGCGCCGCAGCAGGGTCCGGCATGCACCTAACAACCATTCCCAAAATGGTATCCGAAAGGGGAAGCCAGCGGCTCATAACCGCCTGAAGCACCACCTTGGGATCCTTATTCTGCAGGTCCCTTGCCGGCACGGACAAACTAAACGACCTAATAACCTTCTCAAGCAACACTCTATCCCCTTCCAAAGCACCCTGATAAACCTGCCACAACGGCTCCAACACAAACTGAACAAACATAGGCTTACCCTTGGCTCCAATCCCTTTCTTCCCAACAATCATCTTCGTCCTAGGGTTAAAATACCTCGGACCCCACATCGCTCTCAACAACGCGTTCACACTTGCCCCAAGCTTAGACGCATATAACTTGGCAAACTCACCAATCCCAAACCCCCAACCATCCAAAGCACAAGCAAAAACCACGTTCCCCTTCTGCGGCTGAAACACATCCTCATTATCATCGTAGTCCTCTAAACCTTCGCCGTCGCCGGAATCTGCGCCGGCGAGGAGAGAATCCACGTCGGACAAATATTTCTCCGATTTGTACGCGCTGACGATGCCGTTAACCTCGTGTACGATTCGCAAGAGGCGCGCGTAGGCTTCGGAGGGAGTGAGTTTCAACTCGGTGATTAAGCGGTCGATCTTGTTGAGGACCAGGCAAGGTGTGAGGCGTTCGATCCAGCACTGGCGGAGAACGGCGTGGGTTTGGATGTGAACGCCTTCGACGGCATCGACGAGGAGGAGAGCGCCGTCGCTGAGGCGCGCGGCGGTGGAGACCTCGCTGCAGAAGTCGATGTGGCCGGGGGAGTCGATGAGGTTGACGGAGTGGTGGTTGTAGCGTAGGACGATGGAGGAGCTCTTCATTGTGATAGCTCTACGTTGTTCCTCGTCGAGGTAGTCCATGAATCGGACCCGACCCGCTAGCTTCGGGTGGATGACGCCGCCTCCCGCCGCCGCTATTAGGTGGTCGGCGAGGGTCGTCTTGCCGTGGTCGACGTGCGCCATGATACATATGTTGCGGATTTTCTCCGTCTCGGTCTCGCAACTTCCCTCTTCCATATGTTGCGGACTTTGGGTTCTGAAAAACCCTAACGCTAACGAAGGAAGAAGAATTGAAAAGCTATTTCTGATCGTGCTGAATTGACGGTGTCGTTTTGCTGTAATAAAATACCGACGCTTCTTCTATTTCCATCGCAGGGAACTCATTATATTTTATAAATTTAATTAGAATTCACACACACTCTTATTTTTTTATAATTTGTGATATTTGATAATAAAAGGAGAGCAATGCTTTGCTTTACTCAGGTAAGTTGCTTCAATGAAACATGGGGGCCATTTGGGGCTATTCACTTGATACTTCATCACTTTACACTAATTAAATTGCATTATAGCATTGGTTGTAAGATAAGAAAATGTGCCATTGTAGAATTCAGTGTTAATATTTAAAATTTTCTGCAGGGTCCTGCTTATTTAATATTTATTAAAATAAAAATAAACATAAAATTTTGCATGATATTGTTATATAAAATTTTAACATGATAAAAATACTAAAATCTTTATTTAATCCTAAAAAATAATAAACCTTTTATTTTAGTCTTTAAAAGAAAAGGATATAAAAATTAGTTTATTCATACTTTTTTTAAAATTCTACACTACCTTAATATAAATCTAATTAAAGAAAAATAAAGCAAGGCTTCTTAATTTCTTTATTCATGAAATTCTCTTATTTCTTAAGAAATAATTTGTATGCAGAGTAAAATACATAATATATATATATATATATAAACATAGCAATCAATAAAAAAAATAAAATAAAATTTGACTAGGATCGTAAAGGAAAAGAAAAGTCGTATGAACGAAAACAAATTTAAAAGCAAGTCAAATTTAGTCAAATTTTATTTAAAGTGATTAAAGATAGGTGAAATGTTCCAAAAGAATATAAGATAAAAAAGTTTGTGAAAAGAAGTAGAATTAAGTTCATAAAATTGTCACACGTTATTGTAAGTGTGCTAAGAAATAATTTTTTTACTTCTAAAAAAAAATACTTTCTCTTAGCCACTTAAGCTATGATTTTCTCTTTTAACGTAAACAATTCTTCTATCCTAATTATTTTACCACAATTTTAATGCCAAGATTTTATGGTCTCTATATTTTTATTCATTTTTTTTGTTTTTTTTTGGGTTTCCATCCAGTTTAATCCGGATCTGACCCGGGTCTCACACTTAAATGTGGTGGGTGAGTTTACCACTAGAGATTTTTTACATACACAAGAGTTTAAATTCGAAATATTGCTTAAGTGATACCAAGCCTTCAAACTTCATCCATACAAGAAGGAAAAAAAAAATCAAAATAAAGGTTGATACTTGCATCCTAAGATAAAAGAGGAGAGTATGTCATAAATTAAGAAACTACTACATTTAAAAAATATTTATTTTACGTCGAAGACATCTCTTACCCTCTTACCTTTAAAGATTTGTAAAATTCTTAATCTTTCAAATCATAGATACTAATATACACATCTATGGGTGTGCTCGTTGTAAGCATATGTTACTAATTTTACATGTATGTTACTAAATTTCACATTTCAGTCACATTCTTATATTTCTATCACCAACTTTTATATTTCTATTATTAACATTTACATTTTCATCACAAACTTTAACATTTTTATTACTAACTTCATATTTTTTTGGAGTAAGTTTTATATTAAGTATACCAACTTCATATTCTACAATTTAACTTTATATTTTTTAATTTAATCATTATTTTGTTACAATATCCATTTATATTCTGCATACTAATTATTATACTCTTATAGGATAATTTGATATTTTTATGAACAAACTAGTATTTTGTGAATTTATTTGTTGAACTTTATTCAATTTTTTACAAATAGGATTTTCTTTAGTAATAAGAAAAATATAAAAAAAATTATTAAAAGTGCTAGAAGAATTCATGAACAATTCACCCTACACTTAAAAAAAATTAATTAAAAAAAGAATAGGACATTTAATTTTGGAATGGAAACTGTAAAGTAGGAATTTTCTATCATAATTATGAACCTTTCTTTTCTACTTTTCTATCCTTGACTTAAGACTTTATATAAATTATATATATATATATATATATATATATATATATATATATAAAATTTAGAATCCAAGATGAGTATGGAATTGAATTAATGGATATGATAATAACAAAAATAAATATATAAAATAATAAGATGTTGTCTTAAAGAAAAATTAATTAAATATTCGTTGTAGAATCTATCTAATAAGTGTACTAAGTAGTTGTAGCAAGTAATAAAATAAAATTGTAAGTTTTGAGTATCGTTTGCATTGATTGACATAATAAATTACCAATTTGCAGGATTACAAACTATTTGAGGTTAATTGAAATTTTATAAAGTTTGAATGTTTGAGAACCAAATCATAAAAGTGTAGAAAAATAGAAGGAAATAGTAAACAGACAAAGAATTTCAAAAGGAAGTTACTATTCAAATGAAGTTAGGGTTGATTCCACCTATTTGTCAATTGCAAAACTGATTGCAATATAAATTTCTAAGTACCTTAATTGATTGATGATTAATTTCATTAGGTTAATCAAAGTTTAATTCCTTGATTCAATGATCCTAATATTTAATCAATCACCTTAAATCCTCAGGTATAAATCAATCAAACATTACATTAAGCATAAACAATCAATATACCACAAGAGAATGAATGCTTATACTTAAAATAACGAACCTTTCATTTTAGTCTATAAAAGAAAAAAATATATAAAAATTAGTTTATGAATTTATATTATAACCTTCATTTATTTTTTTTTAATTAGTAAATCCTAAATTCATATTTTATATGGATGATTTTTTATTTTTTTATGTTCTAAACTACTTTAGTATAAATCTAATTAAAGAGAAAACAAAATAAGGCTTTTTAATTTCTTTAGTCATGAAATTCTTGCATTTCTTAGGAAATAATGTAAGAAATAATTTGTATGCACATGATCGAATGAAACACAGAAAAAATTATATATTTAAGGAAAAATAATAACAATTAATGAAAAATAAAATAAAATTAGGATAAGATTTAGAAGGAAAAGTGTAACACCTTTTCTCTCCCTAAATTGTTTTATTTATTGCTAATGTTATTGAATTTTGTTTTAAATTAGAAGTGTATGAATGTTGGTAGCTACAAAGGATCTTGTTTAAGCGAGACTGAGTTTTTTGGACCAGGCATTCTAAAGTGTTCTCGCTCAGGTGAGATGAGTCACGCCAAATGAGGAGAGATATTGTCGTCCTAATTGTCCTTTCGTCTAAGCGAGATGGGTCTCACTTAGGCGAGAAGGTATAGAATGAATGGGGAGCTCTCTGAACCCATTCTTGCTCAAGTGAGAATGCCCCTTTCTTAGGCGAGAAGATCAGAAAAAGTTTGGAAAACCATTGTTTGATATTTTCACCTAGGTGAGAAAGGCCTTACTCGAGCGAGAGTAAGCTCGCTCAAACGAGAATTCACGAGTTTTGATGAAGTATTTAAGGAATTTTTTATTTTAAAACTTGCATTACAATCCAAGTCACATTTTTCTCTCACTTTCTCTCTGATCTCTCATCTTTCTTCCTTAAAGAAACCTCTCTTAAATCCCAAGCTTGCAAATCTTGAGACATCCCTATTCCCAATAGTTCAATCTTCATTATTTGATATTTCTTAGAAAAATGCCCAAGTTTTTTTTTTCTTTATAACATATATACGAGTCAATTATGTCTATAGCATCAACAGACTCTTTTACACAAAAGCACTAATATCATACAATGGCATAATATTATAGTGCTCAATAGGTTACAAACCTTCTAAGTTTCTTCTTGTCATTAAATTAATTACATCATAAAAGAACCAAAGGTCTACATAGTGACCATTAAAAACAAATCACTAAACATGTAACTAGTTGCAACAATATTAAGCTACTCCCTAGTTAGCTCATCCCCTACTCCTTTGGTCCATCTAGAAGAGGGTCATTATGTATCCATAACATTGTCAAAAGACACAAAACAAAGAAGAGGGGTGAGTACAAACATTCATAAACAATAATACAAGGAAATACATATGCTTAAATAAACAAAACATCATTCAGGCATCAACAATATCAAGCATCCCCATACTTGTGCTTAAATGAACAAAACAACATTCAAGCATCAAGCAACAATCATTCAATGTCTTTTGTCTGTGAATTCTTCATGGAGTAATTAATTAATTATCCAACATTTATTTTCAGGTTGAGATTGAGAGTTCCGTGTCTGCAATTCGGCTAGTGTCATAGGTACATCTTCTCCCTTTACTGGAGACAGAATATAAGCACACAATTCTCATTTTATGATCACTACCATCAGCCCACACTCAAACCAATCTTGGTATGCTCTAGTGTTTGTCAGGATAGGCTAACAAAGTTCCTACTGCCTATGACACAAGTTAGCTAGACTAGGTCCCTTGTAAGTCTTGGGCACTCTCCTATCCCCTATGGTTAGACCAATACTATTTGCTCCTCGCCTATATCGTGACGTATTCAACCTCTTTCACAATCATAAACAGAAATAATATCATAGGCATGAATTGTCCAACAGGTACATTATAACATCTCTATTTCAAGAGAACAATCAATTACATAAACATGGCTAACAATCAAATTTTTTTCAGATTTCATGAACTAACTTGTAAAATTCATAACTAATTCGATGCAACTCCAAACATCATGAAATCACTAAGGTTTTCTTCCTTTAAATGTCCACTGTAATATAAAATTATAGTCAAAATAAAAAAGTTTCAAAAGAATTAATCAAGTCTCAGTTTACTTCTGTTGTTCTTAGATCAGTTCACTAAACAGCCAACATATTGTAAAATTCATAATAAATTCAATTCTCATCCAAAATACATGAGACCAATGAGATTATTCTTATTAACATGTCTAACTTTATGTAAAAATGCTTCTAAAATCAAACTATTCCCAAAAATCAATTCGTGTTTTAATTTCTCAGTTCATGTCACAGAATAGTATAATTTAACAACATATTAGAAAAATCATAAGTTATTCAATTCATCATCAAAACTCATGAAATCAGTGGCATTCTTTCACTTTAGTCA